ACTTTACCCCAGAGTGCTGAAGGAGCTGGCTGAGGTCATTGTGGGATCCTTGGTGAATCTTTTTAAAAACTCTTGGTGCTCGGGAGATTCCTGAGGATTGGAAGAGGGCCAACATTGTGCCCATCTTCAAGAAGGGGAGCAGAGAGGACCTGGGCAACTATAGGCCAGTCAGCCTAACTTCTATCCCAGGGAAAATCCTAGAAAAACTCATTAAGGAGTCTATGTGCGACTCACTCGTAGAGGCTAGGATTCTGAACAACAGCCAGCATGGTTTTGTTGCGGGTAGGTCCTGTCTTACCAATCTCATCTCCTACAACCAGGTATCTTGCCACATGGACATGGGAGAGGAGGTTGATATTATTTATTTAGACTTCCAAAAGGCCTTTGATCTAGTATCCCACGATATCCTCATGGGAAAATTGGAGACTGTGGGCTTAATTGCTTGACAGTTCAGTGAGTGGGAAACTGACTGTGAGGTAGGACCCAGAGAGTTCTCATGAATGGATCTGTGTTGTCCTGGCAAGAAGTGGCCAGTGGTGTCCCTCAAGGGTCCGTGCTTGGTCTGGTGCTTTTCAACATCTTTATCAATGATTTGGATGTGGGGGTTTAGAGATCACTGGCCAAGTTCACGAACAACACCAAGTTATGGGGGAACGTGATCACGGCTGCAGATACAGGTGGACCTGGACAGACTGGAGAGGTGTGTGAATTGGAACCAGATGAGGTTCAACACTGTGAAGTGTTAAGTGCTCCATCTGGGGGCAAATAATCCCCAACATACATACACGCTCAGTGGCGACAATTTGACTTGCACCATGACTGAAAGGGACCTAGGGGTAATAGCTGACCATTGCATGAACGTGAGCCATCAGTACAATGCTGTAGCCAGCAGGACAAACACCACTCTGGCATGCATCAACCAATGCATCTCATGTAAAACCAAGGAAGTGATTCTTCCACTGTGCTCGGGACTATTGAGATCGCAGTTGGAGTACTGCATCCAGTTCTGGGTACCGCACTTCAACAAGGATGTGGAAAAACTTGAGAGGGTCCAGAGAAGAGCCACCCACATGATCAGAGACTTGTAGGGTAAGCCATATGAGGAGAGGCTGGGGGACTTGGGCCTCTTCAGCCTAAAGAAGAGAAGGCTGAGAGGGGACTTGGAAGCAGCTTACCACTACATCAGGGGAGTACATCAAAAAACTTGCAAAAAACTTGCGAGGTCCCTTCCAGCCCCTAACAATCTATGAATCTATGAATACATTTTCACCTATAGTAATCGCTGGTGGTGAATTAGTGTTTTGGCTCATAACATTGGTTTTCTTGATGCTCATTGTAAGGCTAAACTCTTAGGAAACATGAGCAAAGTGAATAATGAGGCTCTGAAGGACTCACTCTGTGTGGGATATCAGTGTAGTGTCATCAGTTAACAGCAGCTCACAAATCAAAATTTTCTGCGCTTTGATCTTTGCTTTAAGGTGTGTGAGGTTAAATAATTTTCCATTTGAATGTTTATGTAGATAAATTCTTTCACTGGCAGTCCCAAAAGTGTATATCAGAAGAGAAAAAAATCCTGAACAGGGTTGAGGCAAGGACACAACCGTGTTTGATTCCACTTCATCTCTCAAAAATGTTGATGTGTTATAGCTGACTTCCCTGCATTCCATTATGGAAAGAGCGGATTATGCTTAGGAATTTTGGTGGACAGTCATTCTTTTCCAATAATTTAAAGAGGCCTTTTCTGCTGACAAGGTTGAAGGCCTTACTCAAGTCAATGAAAGTGATATAGAGAGATCTCCTTTGTTCCCTACATTTTCTTTAGAATTGTTGGAGTGAGAAGATAATATCTATGGTGGACCTATTAGCTCTGAAGCCAGACTGTGGCTGTGACTCAGGACAAACATGGTCAGCAAGGATTTGAAGTCTTCTGAGCACTACCCGAGCAATGATCTTTCTAGCAGTGTTTAGTAGTGAAATACTGTGATAGTTGTTAAGTCACTGCAGTCATCTTTATTCTTGTACAAAGTGACTATATTGGCATCTTGCACATCTTGTGGCACTGACCCTACTGTCCAGCAGTGAGTAAGAAGCTCATATAGGTGGGGAAGAAGCACAGGTTTCCTGCATTTGGTCATGTCTGCAGGAATGCTGTCTTCCTGGCGCCTTGCCAATGGCCAGATTGTCTGTGGCCTTTTGTAGGTCCTCAATAGTTGAAATATTATTAATCTCTTCTAAGACAAACAGACGGTCAGTGGTATTAAAGCCTGTGTCAATGACACCACTTTCCCTTGAATAGAGTTCAAGATAATGTTCTACCCATCTTTCCATCTGTTGCTTTCCATCTGTTATGACTTCCCTTGATGGTGTCTTTAATGAAACTGACTTCTTTACAGTTGGACCTATTGCTTTCTTGATTCCATCATACATGCCTCTGATGTTTCCAGTGTCAAATGCAGATTGAATTTCCTTGCACAGTTGCAACCAGGAATCCAGCAGTAGGCAAAATATGATCTGCAGGCTGGATCCGATCAGCCAAGTGACTGGATCTGGTCCATGGCTGTCCTGCAGCGTACTGCACAAAGCCAAACCCTGCCTGCTTCCACTTGGGCAGCCCATGCCAGGCTCCCATTAGTGCCAGCAGCCCAGCCCTAACCAGCATATGCAGCTTCCAGCATGGCTGTTCCTGGCACAGCAGCAGCCAGGTGCTGCTCTGCTCCCCTTGTCTCCAGCAGCAGCTCCTGCTCCTGCTCCTGGTCTTGCCCTTGCCACACGACACCACTCTGGGTGAGCAGCTTCAGTCTGGCAGCTCCTGCCCACCCAGTACATGGGGCTCCAGCTCCAGCTCCCAGCCACCTTCCGTCCCCTGACCCAACCCACCCCCACAAAGCTGTCACTGCCTTGCAACCCAGCCCCGTGATCCCAGCCTCACTT